CTGGGTTGTGAGAGAAATCGGCGGGCGACGAAAATCAGAAATCGCGTATGAGCGGATTCTCGTGTCGAGAATTGCAGGGACGTTTGAAACTTTTGGGCATATGTATAGGTAGATATGGACCCGTGAGTGATTTGTGGTGTGTTTTGAAGGCATAGCTAGCCATTTTCGCCGAGTTTCGAGGCGTTTTGTATGCGGATCACGTGAGATTTCACTCGCGTCATCCCTACATAGAGCGTCTACCGACGCTCTGATATATGGCTATAATACGAGGCGTTAATACGTTATACACCAATTTCTGCTTGTGAGATGCCCAAGGGTTAAAACTATAGTAAGACTTCCTGCCAGAAAGGAGATAACAAAGATAGCTAACATGGCCACGGTTGCTATTGTTGGTTTGGTCAGATTCGAAAAGTAACGAACATCTTCCAGTCTCTGTGTATATAGCTTTAGGCAGTAGCTAAGTGAAAAAGAACTCTTAGGTGGAATGCAGATGGGCATGGTGAGAATGAGGAGCAAGGACGAGCCTGTTTACAGACGGCACACTTGTAATGCTTTGCTTTCACACTACACTAAGTAAGGAAATTGAATGCATGCACTTGTGGTTGGATGATACCAACACCATTCAGAATGCTGTTAGCTTGTTCCGGTTTACCATAACATACGAGCGAAGCAAGACCATCTAGGTGTCTGAATACAGAATTTTCCATGGTCCATGGACCAAAATACTGTAATTTTTACGTGACTCTAAATATGCACTATATAAAACACATGAAATATTGAAATGCTCGCTTCGCTCGCCAAAAATGTGTTGCATTTCTCTAGTTATTTTGTGTGCAGGGAACAACATCTGCCGTTTCAACCAAAATGGCTTCTGGTGAGTAAATAATATACAACAGTAAAACCTATCAATTATTGTATACTTTATTAACAGATAAAGCTGCAATGTTTTTGCTTTCTAGTGGTGTCTCTTTCACTTGCCCAAGGTAGCTACCTATATGGAAGCTATACACTATATACTAGAAAATGTTTTCTAACTCTCCAGAAATACTTCAGCCTCCAAGGAATATAACAGTCTTCGAAAACCAAACAGCAATTTTCTCTTGTGAAATCAGTGGTGGTTTCCCTAGCTGGGCTGTGAATGGGAAGCCTTTACCCGAACTCCCCATTTGACCTAAGTAGCAATTTGGAAATTTCATTCCTTGCTCATGAAAATGGGAACCCTCAACACCGACTTACAATAACTGCAAAGGCTGAGTTAAATGGAACTGTAGTTCAGTGCTTGATAGATGGTGGTTTTTCCGACCGGAGTGATTTGGCTTCATTGACTATTCAAGGTAAATGAATAATGTGCTTCATTGGGTGGGTCCATGATTTTGATATTGGATACTTTATTAATCAATAATAAAAACCCTAAAATCGGACTAACAATAATTGGCAGGGTTGAGTTGAATGGAACTACAGTTAAGTGCTTGATAAATGGTGGGCTTTCTGATGAGAGCAACCTGGTTTCATTGAGTGTTCAAGGTAAATAATGTGCTCATGGTGTAGGGGGTGCAAGATTTTTAAGTGACACCAGCACTTGGTGACATCAATTCACTCAGGCCTAGTGGATGCTTTTGCAAAGTATTGTAAATCACAGCAGGTTAAATTCGCACTTGGTGTGCATGTGTGCCAACGATTCAATGATGATTAATATGTTTGCTCAGGTCCGCTATCAAACGTTGTGAATTTGAGAGCTATCAGCAATGCCAGCTCAGTTACTGTTTCCTGGACTGCTCCATTCTCTCTGAATGTGACTGATGTTGATCCTGATATCTGGTACTCTGTTCTGGTCTACAATGTGACGGATGAGAACAACCCAACAGCCATCCTCTGTACTGACTGTATCAATATCACTGGGGCACACTACACCTTCTCTCCTGACTACTTCAGTCCTTGTCATCTCTACCTCTTCTCTGTAATCCCCATTCAATGGAGCTGGCCAGGGAGAGAGTAGTCCTAATGTCACTGTAAGTAACTTATCTGCATTTTCCTCCTATACTGTAATGTACATGCCTTTTATGTTTTGCAGGAAACTCCTTCAATCAGCTTTTTCAGAACAAATCTGAAAGCTATTTTTGATGGTTAATGTACATTTCAAGTTTGTGTAAGAATTTTACATAATATTGCTAGTTACACTATTACCCCCTCTCTCTGTTCACAGGGAGATGTAGAACAAATATGTAGATACATTCTCCATGGAGTGAATGGACTTGATAATGAGGCTGTACATTTCAATCTCTCAAATTTGGGGGATAGAAGACTTTTAGTCTACACATTGCCTGAAAATGACTATTTTTCTGTCTTTTTCGAAATGTTTACCACTACTGGGGCAATGAATACATCTTTTAACAACTTTTGTAAGACACGCCATTGTTGTGGCTTTCAATTTCCTTTGTGTTTACAGCAACATATGATGTCCAGAGTCTGTCAGTGGAAGAGGAAACAGGAGGAGGAGGAGTAAAAGTGAGAGGAGAGTTTGTGAGTGGGTCACGAGCTGCAGGATGTCTGGTGGTCCTCCAGGGACCCCCTACCTTTCCTGACATATTCACAGCTCTTCTTAGAACTCAGTCTCAGGGCATTGTCTCCACCACTGTGGCTGTCCCTCCCTCCACCTACACTGTGTATGGATATGATGTGGAGGAGAATGACCTTCCATACTCAATGCCTGCTGTTGTACTGGAGAATCTGACCATAATAAACTCAGGGATGGATGGTAGCTAACTGTTTATCGCAGACTTCTCAGTTAAATCTGTGCTGTTGATTTACCCTTAAAACTTGTCTAAATGTTATAACCCATAATAACTCATGTCTTTTCTAAAGTTATTTTTATTGTGCATTAATTACAGTGATGAGATCACCGAAAGCCTTCCAAATACTCAAGAGTGGCAATACCCACATTTCCTCTTTAGAGTGATTTTTTATTTACAGTGATGAGATCACCAAACACCTCCCAAATACTCAAGAGTGGCAACATATCAAGAAGTGGGTCAACTGTTGTGATAGACTGTCAATTCTCAGAGGTGTCTCCACAGACTGCCTCGTGTGTCCTTGTCTACAGAGAGTATGGGACGGCCCCTCCTGACAGTGGTAGACATGCCCCACCTCCTACATTTCCCTGTCTCTCTGGCTGTTGACTCTCCTGAGAACTACACCTTTGCCTTGTTTGGAAAACACCCTGTGACTGGAATGGAGGAACAGCCTCTCCTCACTCTTAAGCTCAGTGATGTAACAGGTGTAGCTATATAGTTAGAATTAAATAAAGTACTAATATATTCCTCTCCAGATGAAAGAGGAGGAAACAGTGAACGGAGATAGGAATGATGATATGAAGGAAACAGTAAATGGAAAAAGAAATGTGGAAAATTCCCAAACAGAAGTTGTTGTCATATCAACTGGTAAGGTAGTCAGATAGGAGCTTGACTTACCCTTTCAATTTTTTCAGGCACTGCAGTAGTGGGATGTGTTCTAGGATGTGGCTCAGCTGTGTTAGTCCTGGTGGTGGTAAAACAACTTCGCAGAAGAAGCAAGTCCAGAAATGCAGGTAACATTCTCAAGAGGTATAGTACTGTGCAATGAAGTGACTTTGTACACATACTTGGTAGGGTGTGTGTGTGTGTGCAAAGTTTTTAATTATTACAGCTTGGTATCTCCTCAGGGGAGCTCGTCAGATGAGAAGTATGCCAGTGTATGACGAGGTTGTTCTTCCACCGACCACCTCCTCTTCTGCCATACCAACTGAACCCAACACAGCCTATGTCACCACCACAATGTCTCGGAATATATATAGTATATCACAACTGACCATAATGTGGCTTATGCTGCTCCTTTGTAAGAATGCTATTTTGGTTCAAAATTATGTTTGCAGTAATCTTCACTAAGTGGTATATATAGAAAGGGGCCATAATAATTCTTGTAGTCCGAAGCCTTACAATATCAAAGCAAAATTACTAACTACAAATCCGGTAGATAGTGCAGTTGCAAGCTATAATGATAACATAGTGGTTAGGTGGGGTATATAGGACCACATAAGTGGGGAACGGTAGAGAACGGTTAGGGAAAAGTTATGGGGAAAATAGAGAGCAGTAGAGAAAAAAGCCACAAACCAATATTATATAGTACCGTCTTTGGTTGTTCTCTGTGTCTTTATTTAGAGCATGTTCAGAGAGGTGTAGTCTGTCAGTTCACACCCACGCAAGAGCAAAGGGTGTGACTCCGCCCAGACGCATAAAATATACTACTTGGCTTTTGTGCAAGAAACAAAAGTAGTGACGCGCTCTGCGAAAAGGGCCTTTAACCCAATGGACAACATTTTGATGTAGCACTACATGCTGTAAATGCATGCATGATCGTGATTTTTGTTTTATTGTGCCATTAGGTTGCCATACTCTTTCTCTATCTTTACCAAGTTTTAACTCCTATAATTATAGCTATATAATGTTTCAGTTCTGAAGTTACGGGACAGTGTATGCCTGTAGTTCACAACCATGGCTCAGATATGTTTTCGGATATTTTTTATAGCCTGTTTCTCACTCATTTCGTATGGCTGTGTTCAAACAAGCATATCTCGAACATTAGATAAGCATTCACTTTCATTTTTGTTCCACAGTGAAAAAAGGTGGATCTACAATAATACAAGCAATAAATATCGACTTAAGGGCCCTTTTCGCAGAGCAGGTCACATAGTTTTATTTTCATGGCTGGGGTCTGATGAGGTCGGAAAGATATCCGGTCCAACATCACATACACAGCTTTCCTCCCAGCTCTTTTACACCCCTCAACCCAAGCAGGTTGAGCCTGTGGTCATTGAGCAGCGGGACGCTTTCGTGCTTTGGTGACAAGAGGGTGGCGGGTGGCTTGAAAACATGATTAGAACCACTGTATATAGAGAGTCCCAAACAGCTGATGAGGGTAAGGGTTAGGGGGAAGTGCATGAAGCTCCTCTAATAGCCCCAGCTGAGAGAGTCTGAGGTATATGCAAGAAGGCCGGAGCACCGGTATCCACTACAAATGGTATCGGCACCACTTTGTCTGAGGTATGTCGGATCGTCTGGGGGGAGGTCATGCTCTTACAGAAGTACGCTCTTGAAGTGAGAATCTTGCTGCACAGATCAGACAGGGAGTTTCATTCACACCACCTGGAGCCAGGGAGGGATGAACCTATGAAGGGTAAGATCAGTGTCATAATTCGGGGCCATTTTTAAGACAGTGTTTTCTATTAGCGCACCTTATCTTTTGCAGCAGACACTATTTTCGTTTGGCTACATTTATGGCTCTTTTTTCTGATGTCGCTATTTTATGTCGCCAATTTTCAGACAGTATTCCATTTTTCTTGTATTCGAAGCTACTCATATCAAAGCAAATGACTAACTACTAAATCCGGTAGATAGTGCAGTTTGCAAGCTATAATGATAACATAGTGGTTAGGTGGGGTATATAGGACCACATATGTGGGGAACGGTAGAGAATGGTTAGGGAAAAATTAATAGAGAGCAGTTGACGAAAATGGAAAAAAACAGCTACAAACCGATATTAAAGTACTGTCTTTGCTCGAAATCCAGTGTCTTTTTTAGAGTGTGCTTAGAGAGGCATATATAGTTTGTCAGTTTACACCCACACGAGTGCAAAGGATGTGGATGCGTAACATACCCCAGAAGTGCTTGCGAACTCAATGACTCAAGGTTAGTGTGTGTGTGTTTTTGTGGATGTTTTGTGTTTCAGACTGCAGGTTTATTGGCGAGTGGAGCGAGCCTACATTGTTGTTAAAACGGGGGGTTTTCTCTATTATTTATTATGGCTCTGTCGGGCATTGCACCTACCGTAATGTTCTATGTGATTCTAAGTACGTACAAAACACGTGCGAAATATTCCACTGCTCATGCTCGCGTTCGCCAACAATGTATTGTATTTCTCTAGTGATAAGGCTTTTCCATGTGGTTATCCAGACGGCACCCCCAGTGTTGCTATAGCTATCAGCAGAGAACAATGTGGAGGTGAACACTGTTGATCGATACCAGGGGAGAGACAAGGACTGCATCATTATATCCTACGTCAGGAGTAACCCAAACCAGAATGTGAGTGCATGCATACACAATGTTATAACATGATGTAAAATTGTTGACAAAATGGTGGTCTATCGTATGTAGCATACCTTAGCAAGATGGACATGCTCAAAATAGCTTTTCTAAAAGGAATCCATGAACCGCTATATACATAGTGGCTGAACGTGGCATAGGCTTTTAGACATGTAAACTAAACTAATTTGTGTGGAGAATTGATTTGCTTTTTCTCGGTGAATTTTCCTGAGATGATGTAAAACTGTGCCATCCTTAAGCCGTCTTGATTTGTAGTTAGACAGATAGAGTGGAGAATCCCATACATGAGCTAATTTGGGATTCAGACGTACGTAACTGTTATAAAGTAGTGTCAGCACTTCCTCTGTCTTGAACCTACAAGTGAGATGCTCATACATACAGCCAGTGTTTACATCATCACCCTGACTTCCTCGTTTTTTTGCCCTCCTCTTCACTAATTCCTCCACCTTATAACTCTTCACCGACAAACTATTTCACATGTTTTATGGCAAGTGCCTGCTATTTTCCTTCCTTCAATTGTCCATGCACAAGCCTGCCATGATTTCAGCAAGAGATTTTAGTTTCCTGGTGGTAGCTATGTTTTAAACCCCTCTACCTAGGTGGGTAATCTGCTGTGTGAACTGTAGGGAGGGTGAATGTAGCTCTGACCAGAGAGCCAGACACAGATGGTGATGGTTGGTTCGACTGTCAAACCGCTCTCCTCCTCCCCGCCCTCTCCCCTCATTTCATCCCTCACTGACAAACAATGGATCACCTATATCACTTGTTGCACAAGTTCAATTAGCTCAGAAGACATTAGCAATCACTGTCAAACACAAATCAGCAACCCTATATACTGAAACCGTGTGCTGAAATATTATACGGAAAAACCGAATCAACTCCCACTGTCACTAAAAGTGGTGTGTTTTTGATGGCGATGGTAAAATACGGCTTCAGTGACAAGAAAGCCATTGCACTGTTCAGTAAACACGGGTGGAGTCTCCAGACACCATGATTCGGGTCGTCCAGCCCTAGCATCCCCCCAGGTGATCGTTGGCCATATGATTCTTCTCACCTTATACCTTTGGACCATTCTTAAATAGCTGATGCTTCATTTACTATGAAGTGCAAACCATCGGCGCACTGCGCATGCGCGGTATAAACATTACCGGGGTTGCATGCTATAATTACACGTCATGAATAGCTGTGTGATGCATAATATAATACCGTTAGGCAATACCTAGTCGTGTCATACGCCCGCGAGAGTGATTGCGTCAACTTACTGAAACCGATTTAACTTATGAGGGTAATAGTAGCAGCTATAGTCTATTGTGGTTTTCCTGTGGCGTCGCTGTGAATACGAATGCGCCTATATTGCTATCCGAACTTTGGTCATCCTCTAGCTAGTACTTGCTGCTTATGTATGTAAGGATCGCGATCGGCACAGAGCTACCGGGCCTGGCGCCGGGGCCGCGCCGCGCTGCAACCGGAAGGCATGCCGAGGGGTACGAAAATCTCGTACGCTTATGGTCAGAAATCCATAGAAATCAGTTGGGAAATCAGCGAAAAGTGAAAAGTGAAAATCAGATATCAAGTTGCTGTGCGGTCGCGCCCGCTTTAATATAGCTCCGTATAGCTCCGTTGACTGTAGTAACTAGGCCGCACCCGCTGGCCGGCCCGCCCGGTCCCTCTTGGCTGCGCCGAGCTAGCTGCGGGCGCGCACACACCCCCCGTTCACTCGTTCCGGCCGGCCCGGCCACACCCTCGAGAGACAGGAGAAATCCACTGGAAATTCACGTGGAATCTGGAAATCTCTTGATATCCGGAACTGGAAATCAGTTGATTATCACGTGGAAATCTGGAAATTAAGTACAGAAATCCAGTTGGAAATCACGGGCTTTTAGCATCTCGTACGTCATGCTACGTCCGTGTCGGCCCCTCGATGCATGCTAAGTTCAAGTGGGTGGATTGGGGGAGATCCGGGAATTAAGAAAGCCGTGCCCGTTGCAAACTTAGTTTTGGATACGCCTTTGTCCCCTGCTGAACAGGCTAGCCTATATACGGAGGCACCTCTTGGCAGTGATCCAGGGTAGCTATCCAC